TATAGTACTGTCCCTATAATAAGGGTACAGTACTGTCCCTTTAATAAGGGTACAGTACTGTCCCTTTAATAATTGTACAGTACTGTCTCTTTAATAATTGTACAGTACTGTCCCTTTAATAAGGGTACTGTACTGTCCCTTTAATAAGGGTACAGTACAGTCCCTATAATAAGGGTACATTACTGTCCCTTTAATAAGGGTAGAGTACTGTCCCTTTAATAAGGGTACAGTACTGTCCTTTTAATAAGGGTGCAGTACTCTCTCTTTAATAAGGGTACTTTACTGTCCCTTTAATAAGGGTACAGTACTGTCCCTATAATAAGGGTACAGTACTGTCCCTTTAATAAGGGTACAATACTGTCCCTTTAATAAGGGTACAATACTGTCCATTTAATAAGGGTGCAGTACTCTCTCTTTAATAAGGGTACTGTACTGTCCCTTTAATAAGGGTACAGTACTGTCCCTTTAATAAGGGTACAGTACTGTCCCTATAATAAGGGTACAGTACTGTCCCTTTAATAAGGGTACAGTACTGTCTCTTTAATAAGGGTACAGTACTGTCCCTATAATAAGGGTACAGTACTGTCCCTATAATAAGGGTACTGTACTGTCCCTTTAATAAGGATACAGTACTGTCCCTTTAATAAGGGTACAGTACTGTCCCTTTAATAAGGGTACAGTACTGTCCCTTTAATAAGGGTACAGTACTGTCCCTTTAATAAGGGTGCAGTACTCTCTCTTTAATAAGGGTACAGTACTGTCCCTATAATAAGGGTACAGTACTGTCCCTTTAATAAGGGTACAGTACTGTCCCTTTAATAAGGGTACAGTACTGTCCCTTTAATAAGGGTGCAGTACTCTCTCTTTAATAAGGGTACAGTACTGTCCCTATAATAAGGGTACAGTACTGTCCCTTTAATAAGAGTACAGTACTCTAACTATAATAAGGGTACAGTTTAAAATATTGCCAAGAATTCATAAAACTCTAAACTAAACTTAACAGTTAGGCCTAGTTAAAAATGTATCAACCTTTTCCCAAGCAAGTGCATTTTATTTGATGCACAAAAACCTGAAATATAAAATGATAATTTCTGAAAATATGCAAACAAACTTAAATATAACAAGAAACCCAGCTTTGTGTGGAAACCAAAATTTCTCCATAAAGGAAAACCTACTCAACTTATAGGTATTAAACCAAGCTCAGATCATTCCCGTGGTTCTACAGAGTTCCTCAATCAAGATTTGAATTAAGGAGGTCCAGGCGTTAATGGGTTATGATCAAACAAACAAACAAACAAACAGAGATCACTACTTGATATATTTTGATATTATCACCCAACATGTTTTTCTCTTCCATTAAATCCGTTATTTAAAATAAAAATTTGGATGTATTTAAAAATTCAACTTTTTGTTCGCACAATGGACAAGAATGATACCGGATCCATCATGCCTGGAGTCAAAGTGTAATCGTTTTTCTTTTTGACCTTATTTCGTTCCAATTTCGGTCCGCTTTCGTTCTGCTTTAGTTAATTGACTGTGGTTTTTATTGGTTAAAAAACGTTTTAAACAAATTTGATTTCCGAATTTTGTTCTTGTTCTTTAATGTTACAAATTTAAGCTTAGCATGATCAAATGGATAATATATAGGTAGCAATAGAGAAATTGATTAATTATACACGACGTCACAAGTGTCAAATAGGAAAACAAAATTTTCATACATAAGTTGACATTTTTTCCAAGATTAAATAAAAAAGTGTAAAAACAGAAAATAAAGAACACATAAAATAGTACTTATTTTACTTTAATATAAGCACTTTATTCTAAAATTATTAATATTATTAATAATTTTGTCGGACACAAAAACTAAGTTGACACTTGTGACGTAAGAATTCAGCTGTACTGAGAGAGTGTACAGATTCATACGTTGTCATCTATTGTACTAGAATCTATTTGAGCAAGACTACAATGTAATAATAAATAACTCGTATTCTTGTGACACATCTTTAAGTCAAGACTTTACCCATCCATAGGTGGGTAAACTAGACAGGCCGGTACTATACAGTTTAACCTAGAACTTTGGAGAATTAGAAAGAATTTAAAAAATGTCGTCTTACGAATTTTTTATGGGTTTTATACTATTGTATCTAAATCTCAGTAACTGTAAAAAGAAAATAGTCAAGAAGAGTAATTTATTGAATTATTAAATCAAAAAAATATTTATATCTGCAGTATTCCATTATCAGTAGGTTTGAAATAAGACATTTTAAAATTCGTTTAATGTCTGGGTTAAATGGTAAGATTACACTAGACCGGAAGTATTAGTACGATCAGATTTTTAGTTAATACCGCTAAAAGAACACAAAAAAACACATACATGCAGCTTTAATGTATACAAGGATTTAGCGGTCTAGTATGATTGTATATTCATTAACTCGCACCGACTGGTCTAGAATACCATGTCACTGCAAACCAAGATGTCATCGCAGCATATCACGATTTATGGACAAAATGTCTGCAGGCTAGTTCTAAGGGAATGTATATCCGCATTCATTTATTGCAAACTATTTTGATGTTTTTTAGCAAAATCAAAGAGCATCATTTTGCAATATTCAAAACTTTGAAATTGAAATTAGTGTAAAGTTCGTAGAGTTAAAATTTTACAAAAACACTTTTTTTCAATGCAAAGGTATTGGACAAAATATTTATTACTTTGCAACAAATTCCACTCTAATATATATTCTATTCTCTTTAGCTAATCATCTTAACAAGTGTCAATCAATCATTTTTTCTTATTTTCTGAGCTGGGAACTTTTTTGTTGGATACTCATATAATCCCAATCGCTTGATCTCGATATCCACAGTTGGCATCTTTAATTTGAGGATCAATGTCTGATCTCTTCCTTTTAGTTATTCCGGGTACAATTACACTGCAGGATATGGAATAAAGAATAAATTAATCTGCAGATTAACAAAAGATATTCACAATGCAAGAGTTCCCAGCTCTGGTTAAGAAACAGAAGCCGTGAAAAATACAACGAAGATACGGTAGTGAAGACGACTTTTATATTTAGGTTTTGAATTTTTATCTTTAACAAGCGTATTCAAATTACAAGGTTACAAGTAAAGATTTCCCATTTTTTGTGTATCCAAGCTGAATCCAAGCTTGGTAAAAATAAAAATTTAAAAAGAACGTCGTCTTCATTGTATTGATATGTATCAATATGTGAATTTTAATAACTCTTTGTGAATAATATTCTGAAATAGATCTCTAGATAAAGAGAATTTAAGCTAAGATCTGAATTTTTCTTCTCACTCACAAAATTCTTTTTAAAATAAACTAATGTTCTCTTTTACTAATTCAGTCTCAGAGAACTGTAACGCCTCTCGAGCTGGCGGATAACGGAGACAAACCTCACCGCTGAGAAACCAAGATGTCTCAAGATAATGGGACAACGATTCTACGTCGTTCCATCCAATATGTTGCCAATATAAACGAGCAACATATTCACTCCAGAATCTAAAAGATATGAGGAATATGAAGAGACTAAACCACTATCTCTCTTAAGAGTCCTGGACAGTAACGCGGAACCATCAATGTTCCGCGTGAGTCCAGTCCTCTGGTATATATTTCTTTAATTACATAGTTTCCTACCTTTACGTCGGTTATAAAGGCTCGAAAATAATACAAACGAGCAACATATTCACTCTAGAATCTAAAAGATATGAGGAATATGAAGAGATTAAACCATAATCTCTCTTAAGCGTCCTGGACAGTAGCGCGGAACCATCAATGTTCCGCGTGAGTCTAGTCCTCTGGTATATGTTTTCTTAATTACATAGTTTCCTACCTTTACGTCGGTTATAAAGGCTTGAAAATAATATGCAGCAAGGAACTATCAATGTTCCGCGCTGGCATATTCCTTAATTACATAGTCTCTTACCTTACGTCGGTTATATAACTGTAAGATTACATAGTTAAAATAATATGCAGCCACACCAACGAAGAACCATCAATGTACTTCGTTGGTAGAGCTCTCAATCTGTATGTTTTTTTTTCCTTCTTATCCTGAAATGCAGTCTTATCAATACTTGAATATAAACGTAACATCAATTGTAACAGGAAAAAACGATAAAATGTATCCGTTTGATTTTTTATTAATTAACATAAGAATAAATGAACACGATAGTATCGTAAAATAGTTGTATTAAATACATGTGAACAATTTTGTGCAGTTTATATAATATAATAAATATCTAGATCTTAAAAAAGATATGTATCAATTCCACTTTATTTCCAGATAAAATGTGTCAACACACTGATACAGCTAAAGAGATGAATATAGGTGTTCAGGGGCGAAGGAATGGGATGGACTGGGGATTCCAGGTAAACGGCTTTCCGTTGATTAATCATTTTGAAATTCTTAGATGGAATGTAATCGTAATTTCAAGTAACTCTCAATGCAAAGATGTCAATGGCCGATTCATAAGTTTGAATTAGGTTTGCATGTGTTTGTTTATTTAAACTGTCTAGATACATTTGTGGTTTCTCTGCAAAAGTGGCATGAGCATTTCTTGAAGCAATGGAGAAATTCACAGAAATAAACACTTTTCGATTCAGTTAAACGTCGACATCTTCCACATTCTTGTTGAGATTGAGGTTTCAAGGGTACCAGTGTATATCGGGCATTGCTATCTTTGCCAGGAGGAATATTCCTTCATTTTTGTTTACTCAGAGTATTTGAGAAAACTCCTGTAGCGGATGTTTGAAAAAAAAACTCCCGGAAATGCATCCCACAAGTATAAGAACAAGCATTTAATGTTTCAAACTGTTATACAAGGATAAGTAATGTAATTGTGTACGCATTTACTTGTACCAGCCCGTCTAGTGTATCACAGTGTACAGTTAACACAGCGCGTTTTATACAACAAAAAGGCCGGCTGGTTCGGGTTATGCAGTAACAATTAGGTCACGGTGATCTAATACTTTTTACAGGGTTATGACACTAAAGAAGAAAAGGAGGGGGAGGAGGAAGAAGAGATTAGATTAAACCTGGAGCAAAGAAAAAACCAGAAAATTGGTGAAAAATTAATCAACGGACCTATGCACTCCTTTAGACCGTTCTGCTCTCAAACGAACCCGGAAGAGAGGTACAGTGGTCCAGAAGTTAGGATACAGTGGTGTACAAAATAGTTAAGATACATTGGTGCATAGAATATTTAGGATACAGTGGAGCACAGAATAGTGTGGATACAATGGTGTACAAAATAGTTAGGATACAGTGGTGGACAGAATAGTTAGGATACAATGGTGCACAGAAGAGTTAGGATACAGTGGAGCAAAGAATAGTTAGGATACAATGGTCCACAGAAGAATTAGAATACAGTGGAGCACAGAATAGCACAGAATAGTTAGGAAACAATGGTCCACAGAAGAGTTAGGCTACAGTAGTGCGTTGAATAGTTAGGATAAAGTAGTGCGTTGAATAGTTAGGATACAGTAGTGCACAGAATAGTTAGGATACAGTGGTGCATAGAATAGTTAGGGTACAGTGGAGCATAGAATAGGTAGGATGCAGTGGTGAACAGAATAGTAAGGATACAGTGGAATACAGAATATCTAGGATACAGTGGTTTTCAGAATAGTTAGGATACAGTGGTGCACAGAATAGTTAGGATACAGTGGTGCATAGAATAGTAAGGATACAGTGGTGTACAGAATAGGTAGGATACAGTGGTGCACAGAATAGTTAGGATACAGTGGTCCACAGAAGAGTTAGGCTACAGTAGTGCGTTGAATAGTTAGGCTACAGTAGTGCGTTGAATAGTTAGGATATAGTAGTGCAGAGAATAGTTAGGATACAGTATCCTTACTATTCTGTTCACAGAATAGTAAGGATACGGTGGTGTACAGAATAGTTAGGATACAGTGGTGCACAGAATAGTTATGGTACAGTGAAGCACAGAATAGGTAGGATACAGTGGTGCACAAAACAGTTAGGACACAGTGGTGCACAGAATAGTAAGGATACAGTGGTGTACAGAATAGGTAGGATACAGTGGTGTACAGAATAGGTAGGATACAGTGGTGTACAGAGTTGTTAGGATACAGTGGTGTACAGAATAGTTAGGATACAGTGGTGTACAGAATAGTTAGAGTACAGTGGTGTACAGAATATAAATACACGGTACAATGCACTTAAATCCTAGTACGTTAAAATACAATACGATACAATACAATACACTACAGTTAAATACAATACAATACAATACAATATAATACAATACAATACAATACAATACAATACAATACAATACTATACAATACAATACAATACAATACAATACAATACAATACAATACAATACAATACAATACAATTCAATACAATACAATACAATTCAATACAATACAATACAATACAATTCAATACAATACAATACAATACAATAAATTACAATACAATACAATTTTTTTTTCTTTTGACTATGATTACATTTTTTTATTTAATCACATTTTTATTGTATTTTCTTATTCTATTTACCGCTGCAGCTGTTTTGACGGCTCATCGTCTTTTTGCTGACACAAACCTTTCAGACCTGAAATTAGCTTAAGCAAAAACTAAATCTCTGCGCGCCTGAGGAGGATTAAAATTTTGCAGGCTTAAAAAGGGATTGTTACAATAGTTTAACGATGTCCTAGAGGTTCAGAGTGGTTCCCCTTTTTTCCAAATTGGATAGTCCAATGTGCAGAAGTATTTCTGAAATACACAAAATTTTCAAGAGAAACAGTTTTTAAGTTTTCTTAGTCACGCAGTACACGAGCCTATTGGCCCTTTTGAGATATCTATGTATATTACTTTAAAAACGTGAACAGTCCCTTTATGAAAAAACTAAATCTGCGCACCTCATGATGAATGGGTTGCAGCGCCGCCTTGAGCCCCGCAAAATTGGCTCCTAGCCTCCGTATTCGCAGATGAGTTTTTAAATGACCTGGCGCTACCCCTAAACATTATAATATATATTATAGAAGTAATAAGTAACAATTTAAAGAAAATATTTAATCTTCAAATAGTTATGCAGTGTTTTCTTGAATATCTAAAAAACGTTGCATTGCATCAGTTGCTTACCGCCCTCAGAAGAGAATGGACCTCTATCACAGCGGTCCAAGCTTTACAGTTTGGGGAAGCGCTGTGCTTAGTTGCACATCTTGTATCCTACAGGGGAGTAAGGAATGTACATAGAATAAAACAAGACTTCATATTCAGCCTGGTGTAGCTGAAAGAAGGAGTTTTAACCCCTGATGGGTATACAAGCTATGCACAACAATACCGGTTTTTTTACTCGACCAGCTGTGAGGACTGGACTGCTGTGGAAAATTCCTTCTGATGAGAATTTAAGGCTTACAACTCCCCATTTTGCTTAAAGGGTGCAGTTCTGGGTTTCCTTAAGATGCCTCTTAACTTGGAAAGAGTATAATAGAAGGAATACAGGGAGCAATTCCTTAAACCCTTCCTCCAACAAACCTCCTTATCTCTCTCCTACCAGCTCCACAACTCAATGTCAAAAGAACTATTTGGAGAGGCCTCAAAGTGTAGAAATAAGAAACAAGAAGCAAGAAGAAAAAAGAAAATTGGACATGACAAATTGGAAAGGAAATCTCTTGATATAAGAGATGGGGGCTTGGAATATTTGTCCCCCCCCCCTCCGCCAGAGAGGGGGTTGAGACAATTTCTCTCCCCCCCCCCCCTCCCGGCCCCTAAGAAAATATCTGGAATTTGTGTTTTTGCTTAATCAGATGCAACTCAAGAGTAAACTATTCAAAATAGAGTTCCGAGAAAAGAAAGCAAGATCCTCAGCTAGTTCAATTAAATACAGGGTTCAGAAAAAAAGCAAGATCCTTAAAAATAGTTCTTTTTTATAGAGTCGCAAACAACAAGAACATCCAAAAAACTTCTTTTCTTTTTATTTTAGAAACTAGCCGAAATATGATTGAAAAATGTTTGGACAAGAAGAAAATGAAGAACAAGAAATATAAAAATCTCAAAATATTACCGTCTGATATCATATAAATATTTAAAAATGTTGTAAAATTTAATTAAAATAAATTATTAAAGTTAAAAAAAAACTTTGAACAACTATAAAAATATTAAATATTTTCTCTAACATTTTTTATACATTACTTTAAAACTATCTTTTCTAAAGGATATAGATAGAGCCAGGACATTTTAAATCTGTGAATCCAGAGGCTTGGAGACCATTTTGTGGGGCTCATGGCGTCTCTGCACCCCCTTTCTAACCTTATAGTAATCTGTTGCCTTACCTAACAAGATTTGTAGGTTTAAGGTTTAAACGTCAATGCAAACTTTTGTCAGTTCAAGATATGATTTTTTTTAATTGAAAATTTTTTTAATTTATTTTAAGATATAGAGGATAGACCTTTCAGCTTCTCCCTTTGTTGATAAAATTTTTTCTTTATTTATTTTATTTTATTTTGTTCAGAGATACCTGTGTTATACTAGATGTTGGAGGAGACAGGTAAAAAAAAGCAAAAGTACAAAAAAAATACAAAACCAAGATATCTATATATATATATATATATATATATAAAGTTTTAATCTGTTTGTTTTTCTGTCTGTTTGTATGTCCGTTTATAACTCGGTAACCCCTGGGCCGATTTGTCTCAAACTTTGATTGGGGAACTTGGGAGAAGCGCGGGAATGTTTTTAGACTGGTTTAAAGATTCTAAATTGAGTGGGTCGACAATAATAACGAAAATTTAGTTTCCCGGTAGAATCGTTCAAGTGGGGGTAAACGGCGAGAGTAACTTTTAGTAACCTGGAAAGCGCTGGGTTCCTGAGCTAGTAGTGAATATGACTAAGCCAGGGACTAAGAGACACTAAGAAATATATGAAAAGACACTAGAAGAACAGAAATTTGTTGGCGATTAGAGCACAGGTTTAATTAATTTACTCATGTCATTCATTTTAAACTGGGTTTTTATAATTTTCTTTAAGGTTTATGGTTCCTCGAAAACACTTATCTAACTACCCAACCACGAGGTAATTTTAAGCTTAGAAATTTTTTTTTAATTCCACGGGTAACGCCGGGCCCTTAAGGTAAAATCATTTTTTTATACAAAGAACAGGTAAAAGTAGGAAATAACTATGAATAGGAATAGATAATATAACCGTTGGTAATATTGGGCGCTCAAGCTACCTTTTTTATAAAAAAGGTTCAGTACATAAAGCAAATTTAAAACTTGTTTTGAGGGATTCTTCCTTATCACTTTATTTAAGGGTTAGTTAACTAAATAGTAATTGATTTATTTATATTTGATTGATTTAAATTTGATTTATTGATTATATAGACTAGCAATTGCACAAATCAATTTTCAGTGAATTCGTCAATAAATTGATTGATGAATTAATTTCTTAATAGATTGATTCAAAAATTTATCATTAAGTTCAGAAAGTCTGAGGATAGTGAAATTAGATATTTCAAATTTGCAATTTTAAAAAAAATTGTTTAAAAATCATCATTTTTCATTGAGTCATTAATTGATTGATTAATATATTAATTTATCAATTAAATTTAATATTATTGATTGCCTAATTGCTTGATTGATAGATTTATTGGTTTATTGATGAATGATTAATTTTATCAATTTATTGATTGACATTGATTGATTGATTAGGTTGGGTAAACTGATGAGAGCCGGAAGTATAAAAAAAGTTCTGGAATTTTGCGATGAATTTTTTCCAGGGAATGAAACCATCAACATTCATCTTCACATTTTGAATTAAAGGGTCTGTTTACTGATCCTTCATTTTTTAAGTGGCAAGTGGTATTCACAACGATTCCCTTAAAAGCTTTGTCAGATCAAGTATGAATTAGAATCAATGTTTATGATTAGGAAAACTGATTATTTTTAATTGCAGTTTATCTACAAGTTTATGCTGCAGGAAACAACAAAGAAATTATCAGAACAATGCACTTTTCAAGCTAAAAACCTGACGTTATCTTTAACATTGTGGATGTATTATTTGTATGTAGAAATTATACAATATACACATCCCAATTTCCGTGTATAATATCTACATTTTGCATTTATGCTTCAGAGACAATGAAGAACAAAACTTCAGAATTCAGTATTATTAAAGATAATGAAACAACGATATCTTCCTCCTTGTTATGCAGATAGAGTTTTAAGGGTATTGTTCAGTGAATCATACATCCCCCATATTAAATAGATGGTTGTAATAAATAATATTGGTTAACGCAATATTCTGTAAACCTGAACTATGTTGTACATTATTAATTATATACATTTGTAAACTTCTATGTAAACCCATTATTCACTTGTATTGTGCTTTAAATGAATACATAGCATGATTAGCTTAACCATATGATATATATAATGACATACATCTTAATTGGGCCTATTTTAACTGCAGCTGTAATGTAACATGATTGTCTTAATCATGTGATATAGATAGGGAAGTAGAAATTGTAATTACATCTATTAACTTTAACTTAAACCTCAAATACAGGAGTTGATATAGAGACTCCATTTTGATTACGTTGTTGAGAGTAATTTGGTTCTCGTTGAAACACAACAGTTGAGATCCTGCCCTTTGGATTTGCATTGATTGATTAATAGCTAGTGTCCTTGTTGACATTGATAGCTGACGAGATTGCGCCCATTGGTTTGGCATTGAGAGAATATGAGCTAGTGTCCGGTTGGCATTGATAGCTGACAAGATTGCACCCATTGGTTTGGCGTTGATATAATATGAGCTAGTGTCTAGTTGACATTGATAGTTCATGAATTGTGGCCAGTGGTTTGACATTGATCGAATAATACCTAGTGTCCTTGTTGACATCGATAGCTGACGAGATTGTGCCTAGTGTTTGGTATTGATTGGTTAAAAGATTGTAACTGCGGTTTTAGACATTGATAGCTAAGTAGAACTGAATTGTACCTGGATAGATACTCGTTTCAGAGAAGTTTATGGAGTAGGGTATTTACTACATGGTCACTTAAAATTATTACAACAGTCCTTTAAAACAGTTCTTTTATTTTGTGTCTAAAATTATGGTTTGTATTGATGGCTAGGAGATCCTCCAGAATACTTTTTCGACAGGAATAACAAATTCACAAAGTATTTTATTTTTTAATCATAAAAAGATAATGGAATTCGTTGAAGCAATTGATTCAAAAAGAATAAAGGCAACGTGTATCAATCGTTTTGCATTTAGAACCGCCGTTTAACTATTTAATTACAAATTTGATGAATTTGATTCTATGATTCAAGATTTGAACCGGCATTAGGTAATTCAGCGACCTCTCCAATTCATTCTATTTGGTCCCTGATAAGATAAAATAAGTGACTTTTAAAGCCTCTTCCCCTCTTAAAGCCTTTTTTATCAAAGTTTGGATGTGTAATATTCAAACGCCATGAAAGACTAGTTTTTATTTAAATTTTTTTTTAAACAAGCTGGAGCCAAATTTAATCAATAGCTAGAAGCAGTTGATTACGTAGACTAAGGTGAACCATTTGTTTAAGATCAAGAGCAGTGGTTAACTTTCTCAGTGGTAGTCTAAGCAGTTTAATAATCATATTTTTCCTAAAAAGTTTGTGACTCTAATTTTATAGGAATCCAGATAATTTCTCTACAATTCTCAACATGTACAGGTTTAATTGATAAATATTCTCAACATGTACAGGTTTAATTGATAAATATTCTCAACATGTACAGGTTTAATTGATTAGTATTCTCAACATGTACAGGTTTAATTGATTAGTATTCTCAACATGTACAGGTTTAATTGATTAGTATTCTCAAACATGTACCGGTTTAATTGATTAGTATTCTCAAAATATACGTACATGGGTTTAATTGATTATTATTCTCAAAATGTACATACATGGTTTTAATTGATTATTATTCTCAAAATGTATGTACATGGGTTTAATTGATTATTCTTCTCAAAATATATGTACATGGGTTTAATTGATTATTATTCTCAAAATATAAATAAATGGGTTTAATTAATTATTATTTTCAAAATATACGTACATGGGTTTAATTAATTATTATTTTCAAAATATACGTACATGGGTTTAATTGATTATTATTCTCAAAATGTATGTGCATGGGTTTAATTGATTAATATTCTCAAAATGTACGTACATGGGTGTAATTGATTAATATTCTCAAAATGTATGCACATGGGTTTAATTGATTAATATTCTCAAAATGTATGTGCATGGGTTTAATTGATTATTATTCTCAAAATGTATGTATATGGGTTTAATTGATTATTATTCGCAAAATGTACGTACATGGGTGTAATTGATTATTATTCTGAAAATATACGTACATGGGTTTAATTGATTATTATTCTCAAAATATACGTACATGGGTGTAATTGATTATTATTCTCAAAATATACGTACATGGGTGTAATTGATTATTATTCTCAAAATATACGTATATGGGTTTAATTGATTATTATTCTTAACATGTATGCAGATGTAATTAATAAGTATTGTCAACATGGACAATTTTTTTTTTAATTTTGAAGAAAAAACATTTTGGCGAATAACTTATACGTAATTTAGGACTCGAAAGTTCCACACCAATGAGAGTGGGTGTGCCTTGGTTTTACAGAGAGATCTAGAATATTGGTCAATAGGTAGGTTGATAATAGGCAGATCAGGTAGATTAGGTAGATTAGGTAGATCAGGTAGATTAGGTAGATTATGTAGATTAGGTAGATTAGGTATTTAAAGTAGATTAGGTAGTTTAGGTAGATTAGTTAGAATAGGTAGATTAGGTAGTTTAGGTAGATTAGGTAGATTAGGTAGATTAGGTAGATTATGTAGATTAGGTATTTAAAGTAGATGAGGTAGTTCTGAGCTGAAAACTTTAGAATCCTTAACCCTGATCGGAGAATTAATCTGGAGATTAAAAATGAGTGGAGAACAAGCAATATTTAATCTCGAGATTAAGAAAAAGAGTGGATTAAGCCTTAATCCCGATATCCACCATTCTAAAGTTTTCAGCTTAGGTAGATTAGTTAGAATAGGTAGATTAGGTAGTTTAGGTAGATTAGGTAGATTAGGTAGATTAGGTAGATTAGGTAGATTAGGTAGATTAGGTAGATTATGAGATTAAGTAGGTTTAATGCTGTGTAGGAAGAATGATCCATTCTTTTTAACATATAATTTGTTGGGCTTTGAGATGACTCTTCAAAAACCTTAGAAATCTTTGCAAGCGTCAAATTCTGCCTGTAAATAGATAATAAAATAAAAAAGGCATGAAGCTCCATGAGTGTCAAGTATATCATGTTTTGTGTACGTGTTTATTTATAGATGAGCTGACAATGGAACCTTGCTGTGCTCTCAAATACTACCCAGAGATAGGTAAACACAAGGAAGGTATACTAGGATTCTAGAGGTAGATTTATTTGAAAGGAATTAGGCATTCTAGAGGTAGATTTATTAGAAAGGTTAAGTTAGGATCCGCCGCTAATTTCCGATTTCTTTTACTTATAATTTATGTTTATAATGAAAAGCTTCAGGAAAAGGTCCGTGAGGTCTATACGTAACTAAAGGAATTGAGTCTTTGCCACAAACTCTGAATTTATAATCTTTATATCTTTGAAACCCAAAGTCGTAAATCTTTGATATTTCAAACTTACATTATTTGATCTATAACAGAATTCATTGTTTGAAATACCTAAGGTCTACGACATTGGAATCCTAAGATATAGTGTTTAGAAAAGCAGAGTTTGTGGCAAAGACTCAATTCCTTTCTATGTAAAAAATAGAAACCGTAATTATTATTCAGAGGTTTGTCAGAATGAGAAGGATGGAGATATAGAGTCCAAGAAAAAAGCTCTTGAACAGGGATATTTTCATAAAAATATACCAGGAAAATTATACAAAAGTTTAAAGAGCCTGCTGTATTAATTCCTAGTGATGACGGATGCTAATCTTGAACAGCCAAAACTGATGCCAACGTAGTCCGCAATAGCAAATAGAGTCTAGTTCAATAGATGGCATTGTAGATTTTGTACTCTCGCAGTACAGTTGTATTCTTACGTCACAAGTGTCAACTTAGTTTTTGTGTCCGACAAAACGATTAATAATAGTGATAATTTTAGAATAAAGTTCTTATTTTACAGTAAAATAAGTGCAATTTTATGTGTTTGTTATTTTCTGTTTTTACGCTTTTTTATCTAATCTTGGAAAACATGTCAACTAATGTGAGAAAATTTCGTTTTCCTTGTTATATTTGACACTTTTGACGTCGTGTTTAATTGGTCCATTTCTCTGTTGCCACCTATTGTATTTGAAAATCTATTTGGTAAATAGTGAATTGATAAATGACATAAAGTGCACCAAAAAAAGATTGAACGTCTATTGAGCTTTTCAAAATGTGGTCCACCTTCTTTGTATCTTAAAAATTGACGGAGATATTAAACAGTTGAATATTTTTGTAAATTATTAATTATCTGGAATCTGGACAAAGGAGTTGGTCACTCAGCACCAAAGGGGTATATCTTCCTTACAGATCATTATTTTTACATCTAGTTTTTTCTAAAGTGTGTTCTGGCCAGGATGTACCTTGAAAAGTGCAGGGGCGCAAACTGTTGAAAAAAGGGGGGGAATTAATTTAGACCAATATTAGGCTGCTTCGTTGAAGCCAAATCGCACGATTAATAAATCCTGCCAGGTGGATTTAAGGCTAGATTATCTACCCTACTGTTTCATTAGAGGTGTATATCGCGGCATTAACGCTAATGCCGCGATGTCTTAATAGCAGGATAAATAAATCCACCCGCACGGGTGGATTTACTCTAGATTATCTACCCTAGATCGTACGATTAGTTGGATTTGGCTCATAAACAACATTTTGGATGAAAAAGGGTAGATAATCGTAGGATTTAAAGGATGACTAATGAAAGCATCAGCTGTTTCAGGGTAGATTTAGGATAGATAATCCAGCCTCTATTTAGGGTGGATTTATGACTGATGAAACAGTACTTCCGTAATCGTGCGACAAGTCTAAAACGTAGGATAAACCTACGATTTATTAATCGTAGGTTTATCCTACGATTAAGATACTTGTCTGACGAAGTGGCCAATTAATGTTCCCCTTAGTACAGTTTCAATTCCACTAGCTCTAAATCAGAATGTACGGAATTGTTTGATACAGGTTGAGCTAAAAATCGTTTTGATGTGAAGTTATAATATTAAAAAAATTATTAATGGTTCAAATTGAAATATTTCATGATTAAATGGTAAACAATAACACTTTTTAAATTTTAAACTGTTGTTAATTCAAAATATTATTTTAATTTAAATTCGGTCACCCTGTTTTGTTTGTTATAAACATTCGATTTACAAAATAAATAAACTATATTGGGCTGACGTAAAAAAAACCTGAATTAAAATTTGAAATTCTATCCAATTAGTAAGGATGAGGGCAGTAGGTGGGTGGTGAACTAGGGAATGTAGGGGAGGGGGGGGGGGTGAGAATTGAAACCAAAATTAGTTCGGAAAGGAAAAGTTCTACAAGCAGTATTGAGCAATGAGAATGATGAAATTGTTCAAAAAAAAATATCATCTCCGTATAAAGTATGATAAAAAAGTACTGTAACGACGGAGAAGAGTTAACAGCGAGGGAATGTACATCAATTAGGTACAATAGTCAATAGTAGGTTGGATGCACAACTTTCGAAGGTCGGATGGACAACTTTCGTAGGTCGGATGCACAACTTGCGTATAGGCCTCGGATGCACATATTTTGAAGGCCGGATGCACAACTTTGTGTAGGTCGGATGCACAACTAATTAGTAGGTCGGATTATTTGTAATTTCATCATTTACAAAATTGATGGGGAGGCCGAATTGAGGTCCAAAAATCGTTCTCAAGGACAGACTCAATGGTAATTCCCTGTAGTATACAATTTTTGGCCCCCCAAGCCCCCCCCCCTTCTATCAATTTTGTACAAGGATCTGCACCTAACCGTAAGATATGGATATAGGTCCTAGGTATCAAAAGTGAGGAATTTCCCCAAGTTTTCCAGTTTTGGTGACTTACTTTGAAGAATTTCCAAGGAATTTTTCGAGAACAAGTTCTTGTGAACGAGTCCTCGGAAATTCTCGAGAAATTCCATGGAATTATAGTCCCTAATTTTAGAGATTTTTTGGGGATCATAGTTTTGAGACTTAGTTTCGAGAAATTCCTGAGCAGTTTAAATGAGAATCCATCTGAAGATCAAAAATAGAGAGGTTCCGTGATTTTATCAGAATAGAAAAACCTAATATTAATTTATTTTTATATCGAGTACTTGTGCATTTCCGTTTCTCTCTGCAGGGTTTCGTTTTTTATTAATAAAATTCCAAACACACTATTTCTCTGTCCCTTTATAGTTTACAGAACAACCATCTATATTATTAATCTAATATTGATATTTTTAACATAAGCTTGATAGCTATGTATGTATTAAATTTCTCATCTTCAAACTTATATTTTCATGTCCCTGATGTACACAGAGGATAAGAAGTTGGTTCATTTAAAAACATTGTTTGTGATTAATGATAGGTTGAAAAAAAAACTTGACTTGAATGTTTATTTGAAGAGAAAACTAGTGTAAAATTATAAAGGTTGCGGTTTCAAAGCTTTATTTTTTCGCCCCTGATGGTCAGAAATAATAATGTAATACATCAAACAGTCATTTATAGAGATAGAGTCAAAAGTTTGAAATTTTTTTTTGAAATAACTATTTTTGAGAAAATTGTTAAAAATCAATTTTTGAAATGTCCTATTTCTACGCCCCTGACAGATTTACAACACAATAAAGTAAATCATTTGACCCCTTTCAAAACTTTAAAGTCCTATTTCTACGCCCCTGGAGTCCTGAAATAGTCCAAAACAACATAAATCTATTAGTTTTGGTCCAAATAAAAATAGTTTGAAATATCATTTTATTAGAATCAGTATTTCCGAAAATAGCACCCTATCGACCCCCCTTTTTTCAACAGTTTGCGCCCCTGCACTTTTCAAGGTACATCCTAGCCAGAACACCATACAGGACTTACTTTAGAAAAAACTAGATGTAAAAATAATGATTTGTAAGGAAGATATACCCCTGTGGTGCTGAGTGACCAACTCCTTTCTTTTGAGAAATATGTTACTAACCATATAATTAGTTGACTGTATAATTTTTACTTTATTTTTCGTCGTCGTTATTTAATGATTGAAAAAGACCGATTCTGAAAACATACCCACCAAAATTCATGATTTTGAACGTCGACTAAACACTCAAACTCAGTAATTATACATCGAGGAAACGTTTTATATGTCTCAAATGAATCCTAAAGAATTTGCCCACAACACTGCATACTCAGTTTAACTACCTTACATAGCCAGTCTGTCCCTTTAAATGCAATATAGCAGTTTTTTTGTAGCGTAACCGCTTAAAACTTCACGTGGTATTTTAAATATTTTAAAGATATATGGTTGCATATAAGAGAGGGGGGGGGGGGTATTATTTTCAGTGGTGCAGAGTGAATGGATAATGAATGGTATCATGTTATTTGTGTATTCTAAACCAGTAGAACCTAGGAACAATCTAGTAAACAGAACCTAGAAGACAAAATAAAAACAATCCGAAATGAATGATTCGCCTTAAAACAGAAACAAGGTAATAATTCCTTTTTATGTATTTTCTCTATATCTCTGGTATAGTTTCAATCCTATCCTGTACTTGTATTTTCTCCATATCTCCGGTATAGTTTCAATCCTATCCTGTACTTGCTATCCTGTACTTGTATTTCTCCATATCTCAAGTCTAGTTTCAATCCTATCCTGTACTTGTATTTTCTCCATATCTCTGGTATAGTTTCAATCCTATCCTGTACTTGTATTTCTCCATATCACTGGTATAGTTTTAATCCTATCCTGTACTTGAATTTTCTCCATATCTCTGATATAGTTTCAATCCTATCCTTTACTTTTATTTCTCCATATCTGGTATAGTTTCTATCCTATCCTGTACTTGTATTTCTCAATATCTCTGGTATAGTTTCAATCCTATCCTGTACTTGTATTTTCTCCATATCTCCAGTATAGTTTCAATCCTATCCTGTACTTGTATTTCTCCATATATCTGGTATAGTTTCAATCCTATCCTGTACTTGTATTTTCTCCATATCTCTGGTATAGTTTCAATCCTATCCTGTACTTGTATTCTCTCCGTATCTCCGATATAGTTTCAATCCTATCCTGTACCTGTATTTCTCCATATCTGGTATAGTTTCAATCCTGTCCTGTACTTGTATTTTCTCCATATCTCTGGTATAGTTTAATCTTATCCTGTACTTGTATTCTCTCCGTATCTCCGGTATAGTTTCAATCCTATCCTGTACTTGTATTTTCTCCATATTTCTGGTACAGTTGCAATCCTATCCTCTACTTGTATTTTCTCCATATCTCTGGTATAGTTTCAATCCTATCCTGTACTTGTATTTTCTCAGTATCTCTGGTATAGTTTAAATTCTATCCTGTACTTGTATTTTCTCCATATCTCCAGTATAGTTTCAATCCTATCCTGTACTTGTATTTTCTCCATATCTCTGGTATAGTTTTAATCCTATCCTTTACTTTTATTTCTCCATATCTCTGGTATAGTTTCAATTCTATCCTGTACTTGTATTTCTCCATATCACTGGTATAGTTTTAATCCTATCCTGTACTTGTATTTTCTCCATATCTCTGGTATGGTTTCAATCCTATCCTGTACTTGTATTTCTCCATATCACTGGTATAGTTTTAATCCTATCCTGTACTTTTTTTTTCTCCATATCTCTGGTATAGTTTCAATCCTATCCTTTACTTTTATTTCTCCATATCTCTGGTATAGTTT